AAGTAGGTGCTTTAGACCACTGAGCCATCTCACCAGCCCTGAGGAGCTTACTTTAAAAAAATTTTTTTTCTTTCTTTTTAACATGGTCTCATTATGTAGCCCAGACTGGCTTGAACTCTTGGGTGATCTGCCTGCCTCAGCCTCCCAGGCGCTGGGATTGCAGGCTTGCACCACCATATCTGGCAGTTACAGGGCTCTAACTCGAAAGGGTTAGTTAAGCTCAGATGTCTCAGAAGTCTTGCTGTGACCCATGGCCTGGAAGTACATCTCCATAGCCCTCATCTGCCCAAGTCCTCTGTCATAGCCCCGGGGCCTGCACCGACCTTGGCCACCAGGGGGCACGGCAGGGCCAGAGCTGGGAGGGCAGCGGGCAGTGTCCCCACCAGGTGCAGAGGATGATGGTGCTAGTCCCAGCCTGGCTAGATGGCTGAGCAGGAGACCAGTGTGGCCTGTGTGTGGCCAGGATGTGCACCGCAGTGACAGGGTGACCTTCCCGTCACACAGGAGACAGGACCCAGGCTCTCTGGGGGTGAGGTCAGAGTCCTCTCAAGACCTGGGTCACTTAGCCAGGCATGGTGGTGCACATCTGTCATCCCAGCACTTGGGAGGCTGAGGCAAGAGGATCTCCATGAATTTGAGGCCAGCCTGGGCTACATAGTAGGTTTGGGGCTCCAGGCTGTGGTCCTTTCTTGTCTGGACACTCTGGCGGGCACACTGGGTGACACGTGCTGACCCAGATTATGGCATTTACATAGGGCTGCCATGAGGGCCCCCTGCCACTTTGCACCTGTGAGGGAGGGTGACACACCCATCACCTCCAGCTGCAGCCAGTGTCACTCTGTCACCTGCACTTAGCTCCTCCTAGAATCCAGTCCAGGGCCAAGCACGTGGTATGGCACGCCCAAGCACTACCACCCACCCCATGTAGGCATTGTGCAAGAACTGGGGGCAGGGGCTGGTGAGATGGCTCAGTGGTCTAAAGCACCTACTTAGAACAAGCTTAGCAAAGCACAGGGACCACAGTTCAATCCCCCAGCACCACATGCCAGCCAGCCCCGCCCCCTGGTGTGCTGAGCTGGCCACACACACACACACACACACACAAATAAAATTTTTAAAAAATGATAGAAAAAAAAAAAAACTGGGGGCACTGAAGGAGCCAGCAGCTTAAGGTCATGGCTTGAGGCCAGAGAGGCTTTCAAACCTGTGCTCTCCAGCCCCAAGTGCCTGAGCTTCGCCAGGTGAGGTGGTGCACAGCTGCCTCCCATCTCAGAGCTCTTGTGAGCACGAGGATCAAAAGTTCCAGCACAATCCAGGAAATTTAGTGAGACCCTATGTCAAAAATAAAAACAATGTAAAAAGGGCTGGGGGTGGGATGTAACTCACCACAAAGGATTTGCGTGCTACCTCCAGCACCAAAAAAAAAAAAAAAAGGTTCGATCCTCCTGCTGGCTGACCAGACCCTCCAGGCAGAGGCCACTGTTAGCAGGTCATTTGGACCCAGAGTGACATTCAGCCCCCAGCTGATACTGGGCACCAAGGGACATAAAGCAGGCAGGATTCAGGATTGGCCTGACCTTCAGACCTTGCTAGGTGCCTTGTGTTTTCTCGTTTCCTTGGCATTCACTATGTAGCTCCGACTGGCCTGGAACTTAGGGGATCCTCCTGCCTCAGCCTCTGGAATGCTGAGGTGATAGGCATGCACTACCATGCCCAGGCGTTAAAGGCTACATTCTGGGGGAAAGGTGGTTGGCTCTGGGGTACATTCCAGAAGCTGGGTTGAAACCTCCAGAGAGCCCTGAGTCTCAGATGAGCGAGGCACCTGCACCTGC